TCCATCTGTAACCTGTACCAGTCCCTACACCCCTCCCTACATCTGTATCTCTACCATACACGTCCCTATCTCTATCACCTCTAACAGCCCCTACATCACTCCCTATCTCTATAACCTCCTCCAGCCCTACACCCCTCCCTCCATCTATAATCTCTACCAGCCCCTATACCCGTCCCTATCTCTGTAACCTCCTTCAGCGCCTACATCACTCCCTATCTCTGTAAGCTCCTCCAGTCCCTACATCACTCCCTATCTCTGTAACCTCCTCCAGCCCCTATCCCACTCCCTCTTTATGACCATCTCCAGCTTCCACAACCTTCCAAGACCTCTCTAGTTCTCCAATACTGGCATTTTGAGTTCTCCCAATCTCCATCTTCCTGACATTGCTGACTGTACAGCCTAGCTATCCTTGCACCCTGTCTGCCTGTCTCTGCACTGTCAGAGATGTGGACCTCTCTCTGTATTAGTCCGTGTGGATTGTTTTTTTTCATGGTATCAGTGTGTCATGTTGACTGTGCTCATGTGAAGTGCCTTGCCCATGGTCATGGTGTTGTGTATTTGTGATTTGTTGCTGCAGATTATCACATGTCTGATGAGATTCTGCAGTCAGTGGGGAGACTCTGTCTTGTGAGAAAGACATTTCTATGGTGCCTTTCGTAACTCCAAGTGTCCTGAACTGCTTCCTATCTGCCAAAGTATTTTTAAAATGTAGTCACTGCTGTAAGACAGGAAACATAGTAACCACTTGGTGCACAGCAAGATTCCACAAACAGCAATGAAATAAATGACTAGATAACCTGCCTTAAAATGTTTTTGTGAACTTGAGTGAGCTGCTACCAAGTGATAGGTTTGTTTTTGCTGAATTTAACTAATCATGTGCCAGACAGGAAGCCTTTCAATATATCAACCACTGTCAACACCATAAGACCAGAGAAACTAGGAACAGGAGTAGGCCATTCGGCCCTCTGAGACCACTCCACATTCAATTTGATCATGGTGAATCAGCCAACTCATTCCCCTGTTCCTGCTTTCTCCCCATATCCTTTGATCTCATTAGCCCTAAGAACTATATCTAATACCTCCAAAATATTCAATGTTTTGCCTTTGACAGCTTTCTGTGATACAGAATTCCACAGGTTCACCACTCTCTGGGCGAAGATATTTCTCCTCATTTGAGTCATGAATGTTTTACCCTATACCTTTAGACTGTGATCCTTGGTTCTGGGCTCCCTGGGAACAATCTTCCTGCATTTACCCTGTAAATCCTATTAGAATGTATAGGCTTCTATGAGATCCCCCTCATTCTTCTAAATTCCAGTGAATATAGTCCTAACTGATCCAATGTCTCTTCATATATCAGTCCTGACATCCCAGAAATCCTTAGCCTGAACATCCTTCTTCAGATAAGGAGACCAAAACTGCACACAGTATTCCAGGTGTGGTCTCACTAAGGCTCTGTATCATGTAGCAAGTAACTTTTTACACTATATCTTTTGTCTTCTAAAAAATATCGCAGGTATTCGAACACCATAGAGAATTAAAACATTATTGAATAAAGGTCTCTTAAAGGACAAATGGCCAATGATTTAATGGGAACTTCTCCAATCAGGAGGATTGAGACACAAGCTGGAGTATTGATCAGCAGGTCCTTACTGCACAGACCTCCCTTTTCTTAGACAAAGGGATGAAGAACCTTTCACAAAGTGACAACTAGCAAGGTCAGTGATGAAGGTAGGCCCATAGACAACTGAAGGAACAAGTCAATGGTCGCCATCTTTAAGAGCCAATTAGAATTGATCATTCATCTCTTTAACCAATTAGCAATATGCCTTACCAAAGCTAGGCTAATTACACTGTAATGATCCAATTGATCACCCTGTGGGTTGTAGTTTGGAAAGTGTTAATGAGCAGTAGGTTTCTCTGATCAAGGCAAGTGAGAAATTTGACAGTGAAGTTACTCTGTTGTCTAATTGGAAGCAGAAATCACAAGATATTGGATAGAGATGAGTGAGCGAGTATGAACCTGCTCCTTAAACTGAAACAGGGAATAGGAGCCTTAGGACATCTGTAAAGCCACTACTCTGCTGACATATGTATTACTTATAACTGAAGTAAAGTCTTGCAAGTTTCTGGACTAGACTGTCTCCTGTTGCCTTATTGATTAAAGTCGCAAATAAACAAATTAATGTGGAGATCTGAGTTTAAACTGTGACCAATGGAACTTAGAATAGAATCAAGAGTGAGAATCATTAACTGCAGGGAAGCCAACTTCAATGGAGTAAGACTGGATATGACCCAGAGAAACAGAAAGCAGAGGCAAAACTACAACTGGACAATGGGCTTTAGAGAGACTGCAGGAAACAGTTGTGAGAATGGATGAGAAAGGCCAATTATGAGGAAAACTTGGGGAAGCTGGGATTATTGCCCTTGGAGAACAAAGGTTTGAGAGTAGATTTGATCATGAGTCATCCGTATAGAATAGAGAGGAAGAAATTGTTTCCATTGGTGGAAAGATTAAGAACTGGAGGGACACTGATTAGCAGAAGAAGCAATAGTGAGATGAGGAAAATCTTCTTGGTGCAGTGTGTTGCTGAGGATCTGAAATAAGAGTGGTGAGGATCTACGTGACATTATGGTAGAGGAAGATTCAATTAAGGTGCTCAGGAGGGAACTGAATTACAAGATGAAAACATAGGAACATAGAATAAGGAGTGGGCTATTCAGACCTTGAACCTGTTCTGCTATTCAATGAGATTAGTGACCGAACTCTATATACCTGCCTTTGGCCCATATCTCTTAATACATTTACTTAACAAAAACCTATCTCTCCCAGATTTAAAATTAACAACTGATCCAGCACCCACTGCCATTTGTGAAGACAGTTCCAAACGTCTCCCACCCTTTGTGTGTCGAAGTGTTTCCTAACATCTCTCCTGACCAGTCTGGCCCTAATTCTCAGACTGTGCCCGTAGTTCGAGAATCACCAACCAGTGGAAATAGTTTATTTTTATCCAATATGTCTTTTTTTGCTAATGTCTTGAAGACGTCAATCAGATCACCTTTTTAACCTTCTAAATTCTGGAGAAAATGGGCCCCATTTGTGTAAACTGACCTCATAAAACCTCATAACATTACCGGTGAAGTGCAGGTATCATTCTTTTAAACTTGTGTTGTACTCCTTCCAAGGACAATCTATCCTTTTTAAGGTCTGCTGCCTAGACCCGCTTACAGTACCCTAACTGGGGTTTAACCAAGTTTTTGGATAGCTGCAGCACAAGGTCTGCTTCCTTATATTCCAATCCCATAGATATAAATACCAGCATTCCAATAGCTTTGAGTCCATCCATTCTGAGGCAGAGTCACTCGACCTGAAACATTCTCTCCATAGATGTGGCCAGACCTGCTGAGCTTTTCCGGCAATTTCTGTTTTTGTTCCATTAGCTTCCTTGATGACAGGGTTATGAGGAAAGGCACTAGTTACTCTGCTTCTTCAGAGAACCAGTTTGTGAATGGTGGGCCGAATGACCACCTTTAGTGCTGTAATTGTTTTGTGATTCAGTGATTCCAGCTGGAGACAAAGCTTTTTTATATAGAGACTTAGCCTGACGCCCTTGCTTGTATGCTGAATGAGGTCAGAAATCACACGACACCAGGTTTTGGTCGAACAGGTTTATTTGAACCTTTTGGACTATAACCTGGTGTCATGTGATTTCTGACCTTGTCCACCCAGTCCCACACCGGCACCTCCACTTCATGTATGCTGAAACTTGTGTTTACAAAGTCCGAAATCCCATGAGCTTCATGAACAATTTTGTTAAATCTGTCCT